TATCTCATTAGAACAAAAGATGCTCCTAGTGCTCTTACTACTTAAGAATTTATAAGGGTTTTAGGATCCTTATTTCAGGATCAGGTCAAAGACCAAATATTAGAACAAGAGATGCTCATAATGCTTTAATCACTTAAGAATTTACAAGGGTTTCAGGAGCTCTATGCTAGGAACCTAGTGGCTGAGACCAATATGTTTTCTATTATCTTACAGGCATTTACTTGTATTCATATAGAGCTTTATAGTTTATGAAATGCTTTGACCTACTTTCCAATTTGCTACTCACAACAGCTCAGTGAATTAGACAGTACAGTTCATGAAACTGCATTTACAAATGAATGAATTCATTCAAAAGAGGTCACCCAGTTAGTAGTAAATGGCAGTGCCTGCCTTGAAACCAAGATTTTCTGAAACCTGGTGCAGAGTTCTTTCACCTACCCCATATTGATGTTCTCGCATTCAGAAGTATTGGCCTTTGCTTTCCTTGGGTATACCTTAATTATAATGAATGAAGAAGTGCTTAATGCAGAGGACACGAGACAGGTCAAGGGCCTGAATGCTTTCCATAAATATGTGTTGTATGGCCTGTGCATGGTTTATAAATTTGAATTGGGTGCCAGTATTTCAAACATTGAAAGCTTGCAAATACAAAGTAGGATATCTATTTTAAGAATTAGAAGGTCTGGCCCTAGCTGGGTTGGCTCAATGGATAGAGCATCGGTCTGTGGACTGAAGGGTCCTGAGTTCAATTCCAGTCAAGGGCATATGCGCCGGTTGCAGGCTCGATCCCCAGTAGGGGGCATGCAGGAAGCAGTCGATCAATGATTCTCTGTCATCATTGATGTTTCTATCTCTCCCTCTCCCTTCCTCTCTCTGAAATCAATAAAAATATATATATTTTTTTAAAGAATTAGAAGGTCTGGCAAAATGGCATGCTTTCTACGTGACAACAGTCGTGGCTTGAGCTGAGTAAGCTAGCAACTATGCCGTTTGGTTGTCTGTCTGCCACAGTACCTGCAACTTCTTATTGTCCTTACACTCAGCCGGCTTCTCTCATTTTATTACCTGCTTCTAACCCTATAGAGTTTGTGAACTCCTCCCAAGGCTATTATGTCACTTTGATTTAGGAAGGAGTGGGTAACCATGTCAAACTGTATAAAAATCACCCAAAATATATCTTTTGTAGCAAATCTGTTAATGTACTGCCAAATATGGTTTTTATGCTTTCGTGATTATTAAATGCCATCATAAAAATGATTATGTTTTAGAGAATTCATGGTTTAAACATAATGCATGGTTATATTGATTTCACCTAATTCTCAAGAATAAGACATTTCATGGTACTTATGACCCACTTAAATCAGGATACTCTCATCTTCATTCTATTTTAGATTTCCCAAATTTCTCCTCTGTGACAAATTGTGCTTAGTGCTTATTTTCATTCTGGATCCTTTTCTTTAAAAGTATTAGAATAGCTGCTGCCTCTTTCCTTTCATTCCTTCCTGTTTTTTAAATTGCCATGCCCTTTCTTCTTTAAATTTTATTTTCCTTGCATTTTATTGATACATCTTTTAGGATTTGGTTTATTTTTCTTTTTGAAATACATTATAACACATTCCTGAAGAAAAACAAAAAGTCCCAAGAGTAATCAGAAGATTTCTATTCATCCTTGGTTTCATTATTTCCTGTGACATAATCAACTAGTATGTCACATGCCCTGGTCACAGACCTTTTCTAGATTTAAAAAAATCAATAACCTAGGAGTTTTTTAAAATTTGTATTTATGAAAAACCCAGTGGTTCTCAAGCTTCAAGTCATAGCTGGTGGCCAAGACATGCTAGGGACTGTGCTAGGCTATCCAGATACAAGACAGTCTGTATTTTTTTAGTCCATTTACTCTATTTTTAGATGACTATTTGGCACCTCCTTCTCTTTTCTTAAACCTCCAGAATTTCTTACTTTGTTCTCTCTTTCAGCTGATCACCTTGCCTCCTACTTCACTGAAAAAAATAGATTCAATCAGAAGAAAACTCCCATGTGGCACTTCCAAATCTACTCACCTACCTGCATCCATGCCTGTATGCTCTCTTTTCCCTCCTACACCAGGATGCACCTGCTGCTGGCTGAGGCCAGCTCCTCCAGTAGATTCTGATTATTCTAGCTCCTCCTTATTCTAGCAATGCTACCCTCTGTTTCCTCCACAATCAGTTTTCTTTGTCTAGTGCAGTGGTTCTCAACCTTCCTAATGCCGCGACCTTTTAATACAGTTCCTCATGTTGTGGTGACCCCCAATTTCATTGTTACAAATTGAACATAATTAAAGCATAGTGTTAATCACAAAAACAATATGTAATTATATATGTGTTTTCCGATGGTCTTAGGCGACCCCTGTGAAAGGGTCGTTCGACCCCCCAAAGGGGTCGCGACCCACAGGTTGAGAACCGCTGGTCTAGTGGATCATCCATTAGCATAAAACACAAACCATCCTTTGAAAAAAAAAAAGGTATCTTCTTAGTGCTTTCAGTTCCTGCTCTCCCATCCTTTGTTAAACTCATTTAATCAGGCTTTTTTGCCTTCACCACTCCTCAGTTCTTCCTCTCTTCCAGTGGTCTTGTCATCCAACCTATCAGCACCATTTGACATAGCCCATTCCTCCGCCTGCCTTGAAACACCCCAGTTCCTTGGAGTTCAGGGATCATACTCTTGTCTATTTCTTACTAGAGGCCCGGTGCACGAGATTCGTGCACTCGGGTGGGGGGAGGGGGGGACCCTCAGCCCAGCCTGCACCCTCTCGCAGTCCAGGAGCCCTTGGGGGATGTCCCCCAAGGGGTCCTTAGTGCTGCCGTGGAGGCGGGAGAGGCTCCCGCCACCGCGCTCACCAGCCGTGAGCCCGGCTTCTGGCTGAGCGGCGCTCCCCCTGTGGGAGCACACTGACCACCAGGGGGCAGTTCCTGCATTGAGTGTCTGCCCCTGGTGATTAGTGCGCATCATAGTAACTGGTCATTCCACCATTCAGTCAGTTTGCATATTAGCCTTCTATTATATAGGACTAGGGGCCCAGTGCACAAATTTGTGCACCTTGAAAGGAACTGTGGGCCTCAAGGCTGCATTGGGCACAGGGGTGGCTCTCGGCCCATTCTCTGCGCCCCTCCCCAGCCCCCTCCTGGCACGGCCTAAGGTCCCTTGTCTGCTGGCAGCCCCACTCCCACCGCTACTGCTCCCACACGCTGATTGGGGCCGGTGCCAGCCGCGGGTGTGAGCGGCGGCTGCTGCCCCAATCGCCCCTCAGGAGCATGGGGAGGTGGAGAAGCCCTCGGGTGATCAGGGCTGGCAGGCGCCGGCAGTGGGTACAAGCAGCGGCTCCAGCGCCAGCAGCAGGTGTGAGCGCCGGGCGGGACTGTGGAGCACTGGAGCAAAGAATTTTCAGTAACCACCAGAGACTCATCCCGATGATAGTGACTGGCGCCCCGCCTTGGTCTGGCACCCCCGTTCATCTGCTCCACCATCCCACCCTGGCCAACACCCGCTATGTTCCACACACCCCCCCGGTGGTCAGCGCATGTCATAGTGACCGGTTGTTCGGCCTTTCTGGGTGTGTGTGTGTGTGTGTGTATATATTATATACATACATACATACACACACTAATAAAAGACAAACATCCAAATTGACCGTACCTACACTTACGCCTTAAGCCACGCCCACCAGCCAATCAGAGCGACTATATGCAAATTAACTCAACCAAGATGGCGGCCAGCAGCCACGGAGCTGGAGCAAGCAGGAGGCTTGGTTGCCCCAATGATGGAGGAAGCCAAGCTTCCCGCCTGCCGCGGCCGGTTCTGAGCTCCACTCAAAGCAACAAAGTTTCCATTATAGAAGGTAAATAAACCCCAGATACCTGCTTTCAGCCGGCCATGGCCACAGAGCTGGAGCAAGCAGGAGGCTTGGTTGCCCCAATGATGGAGGAAGCCAA